AATGGACTTTAAAAAAAAACGTTGTTGCGTTCAGTTTACGCTTAACTGCGGGCTTCTGCTCCGATCAATTTGGCCCAAATTCAATACGGGCCTGCATGTAAAAACTTCGAATGTCTCCATCAAACTTGAAGTCGACGTTCTCATTTTTACGACCCGCGGAGTACCAACAACACACACCATACAGACGGACAAACATTGCTTAATCAAATCGAAAATCAATTCGCATCATTCGCAGGATATACTGATATAGATTGTATAGGGTCTCTCTCTAAAGGTGCCCCCCCTTGGGTGTTGCGCACGTTATAAAAAAAAAAAAAAAAAAAATGGTAAAAAAATACTTTTTCATTTTACTCTGTTTTAAATTTATCGCGAATTAAAATTAAATGAAACCATAAGTTATGCAGTAGTATGCAAGATAGGTAGCGTTTCATAGTCAACTCATTTCTATTCATTTCTCTGGGAACAATTCACTTTTCGCACATTTAATTCGATTGAAAACAAACTTTATTCCATATGTAATACGAGTTGTTACGACAACTGCTCGTTAAATTTTTATTTTCTAGCGAAATTTGATTTAATTGCTATTAGTTTGATTTCCGGCTAAAGTAATGCAGTGTAATATATGCGTGCATGTTATAACATGTTTCGCACAATATGCTACGCTTTTTATATATGTGCATAGTTGATTGCGTGCAGACAGACACAATCCGTAATGTGTCGAGAATAATTGAAATGAAAAGAAAAAAAAAAAAAAAAATCCATATAATTACGCACACACACACACACACACACACACACACACATTATACATGCATAAATCGTAAATGTGCATATGTTTAGAGAAAACAATCAATTTTTTTTTTTGGTTGGGGGAGATTTTTGCATTGTCTTGGTCAAAAATAAAGTTAACCTTGACATTCACTGTTATCTAAATGAAAACATGCAATTGTCACTTATTACTTTTCGATTTGTACAATGTTCAACGGCAATTTAAAAATATAGCACTTGTTTATTATGCATCAGCGCATACAACGGACGATAATTACCCGGTGATTAATGTTGTAAAAATATCAAATTGAAACAAAAACGTGCTCGTTTCAAATTCGTTTCAAGACACGAAATTATATTGTGCTTGCGTCGCAACGGAAGTGAACGCTTTTAGATAAAATAACAATTCAATTTCATTGCAAACCGGTTTGCGCCTATCGAAGACAATAAAGTAACGATGATGAGCGAGCTCTTCACAATCAATCAACTTGATTATATTTTAGATATTTTCGAAACTACATCACTCTCTACATATGTATTTAATAAAACAATTCAAATTATTTGCAATCAATTAAAATTCGCCATAAGTCAATTAATACATTTGTATTGTCATGTTTGACTGCTTCGCTTCCCTTCGAGCTACTTATTTCAATTGATTTAATTAATTTTTATTTTTTATTTTTTTTTTTTTAGGATACATGCGTTTAGATTCCAATTGGCAATAATATAGCCATCTATGTCCAGATATACAATAAATTTTGGAGATTTTTTTAAAACAAATAATGAATGGTTTGAAATGAATCCTTAGCGAGAGAAAAACGACAATATATAAATAATAGGCAGTGGCAGTGGCAGTGTGAAAGCAGATCTTGACTTCGAAGCCATTTACAAAGATCATTGTCACAATGATATTCTTTCGCTATGATCGCGAGAGAAAGTAATGCGTCAGTTATAGTGCTCCGGGGCAATAAGCAAAAAAAATGCTTGTGACTTGGAACGTCTCGCGAAATGTTATTTAGATTACGGCTGTGAACCTTTATTGACCGTTTGCGATTGAATAAATTAGTGCGGCTTCTTTTCATGTAAACCTACCTCGTGTCTCTCTGTAAAAGACCTCCTCTCCGTTATATTATATCGCATACAGAATAAAATAAACAATACTTTAGGCAATTAGGCCGTTTCTCCGGCAAGTAATCTAGTGTCCAAACAAACTTAAACACAAAAACAACAAAATTTAATTTCCGAATACTTTACAGAGCGTTCGTCTTAAGGCATTTCCAGAGCTCAGAGCTTTGTGAAGGGAAATGCAGTTTATAGTTTATTGGCTCCGTGGCATGTTTCAATAATTTGGCCCATTTTAAATGCCAATCTGTGTGCAAAAACTTCCAAGTTTGAAGTCGATATCGAAAAAATGCCAACAACAAACATAACACAGGCAGACAGACGGACAGACACGGATTAATCAATCGACACTTTCACGTTAATCAAAGAGATATATATATGCTTTATTGGGTCTCTGAAGTTGCCCTTTGGATGGTGCACACATTGTGAAAAAAACAAAAACAAAATGTAGGAGTATAACGCCTCTATCCTTCAATGGTGGGTATAATCAATATTTATGATAACTATATATGAAGATCTCTTATTTATCTATCCACCATAGAAGTGAGGTGGTACACATGCTTTACGTTCGGAAGCCCCCCTAAGGTACATATATTCATCATTAGCAGAATAGTCTCGATAGATGGATTTAAGTGCGACTATGTGGTTATCGGTTTCTTGTCGAAATTTTTAAAGACACATAGATTAAGATATAAATTTGAAATTTCAACCCACCCCCCAATTGTATGCATTTTAAGTCGATGACCGGTTTGGAGGCGATTTTTGCTTATGAAAAACTTGGATAAACTCAAGCCTTCAAGAATATTTTCGCTGATAAGTTAGAATGTTCTGCTAATTCTAATCTATATTTCGATATAATTGGCTATCTCGTACAACATTCTAATCTATAACGATTTATATAGGTACGTTTTCAATTAAAAGAAAGCTGAGCAATTTTCAAAGTTTCGCCTTAAGTGATGATAGGTGCGTGCTCAAGAATGATCCCAAAGTCTTCTCTTGATTGGTCTTGATTGGTTTAATAAGGCAATTCTCTATCCATAGGGGAATAATGGACGTCTCCCTCTCTCTCCTTTAAACGAGCACGCAAATAGAGCTAAACGATGTCAAATTGAAATAATTTTTTAAAGGTCAAAAAAGTAACTCAAGCGTGTCTTGACCAATTTACTGGGTATCCATACATATCCATTTCACTTTCTTTTCTTTTTCAAATTATTCATTAAACTATTTCAAGACAATTACGTATTTGTTTTAAGCGATATAATCTGCGCAACTTTTGTTTTGTAAACTTTTCACAAAAATTCTGTGACAGTGTGAGTGTCTGTCAAGCACGCGATTTTCAGTTGCAAATGTTTTCATAAAAACGGAAAGTCATGTGCGACAATGTAATCAAACGTTTATTCTCTTCTTCGGTTGGACAAGAGATATGTGTTGATATCATGTCGCCGTCGCCGGCGCGGTGCCGTGTTGTTCTAATTTTAAATAATTTATTAATTGCTTGATTTTAATCGGCACACATTTTATGCTGACTCATAAGAAAAGAAAATTTTGATTGCTACCGTCCACAATCGAAAGGGTGGAAAATGAATGCAATTAAGAATTTTTGAAGCTTTCCTAATAACTAATAACTCAAGTATACATATGTATATATAATGTATGTATGTATGTGTTTTTTAATGACCCCAACTACTACAATAGAAAACTTGCTTCATTCGAATCAATTAAGTCTCAATTTGAATATTACTGTACCAAGCTATTAAGGGCGTTCAAGTATGTTAGTTTCGTCATTTTGTTGTGTTTGAGACCTCACTCACTGGTCACAAGGCATTTCTTTTTGTTTATTTGTGGCTTTCATAATTTAAGAATCTTCCTATGCAAACAAACCGAATATTGAAGAATTTATTTAAATACCATTGCTTCGTAATACCAAGTTTCATATAAAAACACGCACACCGTATGACTGATGACTATTCACAACGCTCGAATATCGCTATTATTCTAAGTGTCATTGAATGGTTGGGATGGTTTGAATTGCTGAGTAGGGAGGTCCGCCCATTTGATGGACGCAAGTCAAAATTGAGCCATTTTAGGTTTTACACCTTTCTTGTGAGAGGAGAACAACGATGATATAAATGCTAAGGTATATAATCGCTGAGGAGGAAGCTTTGCACTTTGATAGATGCTCAGTCGAATCTGCTACCATCTACTGCTTGCTATTAATCTCACCAATCTCATATAGTCTTAAGCATTTGCATGGACTTTCAGTTTAAACAGGTTTATGAAAATAATTTGAAATTTGAACATGAACACGATTGACATTTTGGCGAGACTTTCGCACAGAAACGATTTGCGTTCTTTCACACGTAACTAAGCCACAAAACAGATTTCAATAATAATAAAACAAATCTATCCACACTTTGCCACCCCATGTGCGTCGGAACACCGCTATTCATCGGTTATTTCAATATTTACCCGAATCTAAAGCTCTCTTCAGCGAACAACGATATGTTGATAAATTTTGCATATTGTGTTACAAATGGTCTAATGAACTCATCACGTTTACCTAACTTATATAACGCAAAAAAAAAAAAAAAAAAACCAATAACAATTGAAATTCCATACATATAAATAGTAAAACAATAATAAATTATTTAAACATGGAATTAAATGTGATTACGAGAGTCTTACTCAGAAAGATTTTATTTTTTATACGTATGTATATATGTACGCACACATTTATATATATATACGGTGATATACAAATCTATACGTACCCGACAATTAAAAAAGCAAAATAAATGCAAAAATGAAATGTGAAAAAGGAAAGAAAGAGAAACAAGATCACAAGTATATATACACTGACATTGGTAAAAGTAGTTTCTGTTCCTTTTCTTATTGCTCTACATAAGCATCATAGATGTTATCAAAATTTAAATGAAAGAGAAAAAAAAAAAAAAAAAAAATAATAAAAAAAAACTAAAGAAATTGTAAAAGGGAAGGCAACGAGACCGGTTCTTGATATCTTTCGATTGATTTACATTAAGCTTATAAAATACTTACTTGCCCTTCTCGCAAATCCGAGATACTCAAGAAATTTATTTGCCCGCACTTACCTTATTTACGTGATATTTAAGTGAATCAAGATTAATTTGACTTAAAAACGCACTCTTCTCTTACAGCACTTGGAATATGCACTTAGGGTTGGTTGGTTTAATATTATCTTTTTATAGCCACTAAGCAACGTAGTACCGGGATAAATTTTTTATTTGAACTTTTTAGGTTTAGATTTTGCCGAAAACCAAAATAAAAACTTCTTAACCGAGAAACTGTTTTTCTAAATGAAATTTTTTTTTTTTTTTTTTGATTTTGTCACCTTAACAATAATGGGTGAGTAATATTTCTATTGAGCTTTATTTTTTTTTTTTTTCTATTCTGTTTTTATTTCACAATTTGCCGTCACAACCTAATGGGTAATAGATTGATGAAATAAGAAAATCGAAACAGATGACCTCACCCCTCGTTGACCGTTGCTCGAGCGAGCCTTTGTCAAAGAAATTTTAATGTTTATAAATTTGTTTTTTTTTTTTTTTGTTTGTTTAAACAGGAAACATGAAATTTATTTGAAGGGGCGTTATATTTTGATTAGCAAAACTTTTTTAGGTTCGCAATATCAATGATTTGCTCAGAAAATCCTCAGAAACACTTTTCGCTTACTGTCTGTTTTTTCTTCCAATTGATTTAACTTTTCATTCTATTTTTTTTTTTTTTTTTTTTTCTTAGCTTAGCTTCCTCTATTACACTTTAGGTTTTCTCTTCCTTTTTTCTTTATTTTTTTCTTTGCCCTTTCACACTGTGATCCCTTTTGATATAAATTTCAATTTCCAATAACTATTTTTATTTTATTCAGATTATTTTCTTAAATTGTGCCTTTTGCGTTTTTATAAAAGCAGCATTCATTTATTTACGTTACTATAAGAAGAAAGAATTGCACCCGTACCACACCACCTGTTTACACTAACAGCATTAAATCCTCATTTGCGCTTTAAATTCTAAAACACTTCATATGCCATTCTCTCTGGTCTGCCTCTATTTATTTGATCTGAAACGTTGTTGCCATGAACCAAAATATTCTTATTCGATTATACAAACGCGTAAACGTTAGCGAGAGCTGACACAATTAGATGTTATTCCTATTTTCGTTGGTTGGTACATCAACTTTGGCGACTTTTTACAAAACTATGGGAATTGACAGATCATATGGATTTGCACATACACAAGCATAGAAAATAAAAAGAAAAAAAAAAAAAAAGACGCCATAAAAAATAATGAACGTTTCTTTTGAATTTTAAGTTTATTTATCTAATTTGCGTTTATCTAACACATATTTTATATTATGTGGTTTGCATATTTGGTTTATACCAGGCATCATTGTATGACAAATGAAAATGGAGCAATAAAGAAGCATTTATTTTACACTCAAAATTGTTCTATTAGAGAGTCACAAAGGGTAATTATCAAACTATCGATCAATTAAATTTTATAATAATATATTTTTATAAATGTATTGCTTATGCTTACACTGATTTCTTTATTTTTGGTTCTAACACCGTATATTTTTGTTTAGATTTTTCTGCAAAACAATATGGTAGCGCGGTTCCCATTTTGATTACCGCTAAGAGAGTTTTCAATACGCGCCTCATTGTGTCAGCTCCCTTATTGTTAGAAGACACCATTTTTAATTGCAGCAATAAATTAATTCTCTCTCGGGGTATATTAAAATGAACGATTGAAAATTTTGAATATCTTTCGAAAACACAGGGTAATGCATAACAGTTAATAGAAGTATATAATAATTTCAATGCAATTTATCGATTCGTGTTGATTTAATCGGAATCTGATAAAGGAAAAAGCATTTAGAACACGAAACCGAAAGACGTCTAATACGAAATTTAAATTCGTGTCGTTAAAGATCCCAATTTAGACATGTCGGCAGAAATTTTCGTGCAAAGTATTATATACTTCTATCAAGATTGAATCCGCCTGAGTGGCCGAGTAGGCAAGAGTCTCGACTAGCAGCTTCAGTGGTCGTGGATTCAAATCCCAAGTACAATAGAGTTTTTAATAAAGCCGAAAGCCTTAGATGCTAGTGTTTTTTTAAGACTTTATAATATCTAGATTGGCAATCCTTTCCATTCCTATTATGTCTTCGACTTTTCAGGTCTTCTCAATTAAGTAATCAAAACGGTATACATTTTTAAATACAATTTTCATTTTTTTTAAATTTTGAAATAATAAATTTATTTGCTTATCAATAAGTGGGGACCTTAAAGTCTAGCGTATATTTCATTTACGGTAATAGTTCAAGGATTGGCAGTAATTTTAACCATTTTGTTAATGATCGCGTCAAAAAAGAGCAAGCTTCGCGATCGCAATAGCTGACAGAATGCAAATCACCTGAATTTAATTCGTAAAGTTTAGAGGATTGCCTTCATTTTCGGAAAGGGTAAAACGCAGTCGTAATTAGGTTAGAAATTGACATCATTAGAGGTGACCATGATTGACTCAACTTCTGTTCACATTTTATTGGTATATTTAAGATATAGTTTGATAGCTCGAGAGATAAAAAGCTAAGTCTGTTAATTCTAAATTATTTGTGATGGACTTCATGACATGGTGGATACATTTTTCCTTAAGCGTATTCCACGGTTGGTATACTACTAATGTTGTAAATGTAGTTAGCTTTCATTTGCTTTATGTAACCAATGCGCTTCACATTATGTCGATTACTACGAATGTTTAAAAGCAATTCAGGCTGAAGGTAAGAGTTCCAAGTTCCATCAGATTTATATGGTCGGATTTTTCTTCGATTTCTATCTTTCCATCTATATAATAGACAAAATGCAAGTAAGTAAGATTATATATTCATATAGATGCTCCAATGCGTTACAAACGTTTACTAAATCTTATGTGGTAGATGCTACCACACTACTGGTGCAGTAGTGGTTGGTGCCGAATGCTGCGCATATAAAGTAAAAATATTAAACAAAAATACATGGATTAAAGTTTCTTCAATATCAATATTTTTAATATCGGTTTAAGGGCCTAATCGATTAACAACCCCCGGGGAGAGAAATGAGAAAAGAGCATGTTCTTTTTTTATTGCAAAATTCCACTTTGTTCATCAACATGTCGTTGTTGAAAGTCGTTGAAAAGTGATACGGTTAATACAACGCTTCTCTAATATGTCGATACCTTGTAGTGAAAATAATTTCCTGGAGCGCGTTTTTGAAATTTGGTGAAATTGAATCATTAGAAACTATTGTGGTATAGGGTAGAGATGACCTGAATCTTAATTCATGCAATTGTGCCATTGTAGCCAGCGAATAGTGAGACGATACATTTGTTTCACTAGAAGCGAATGCGGTAATCTCTTTGAAAGTTTTTTTGCTAAAATTTTCATGTCTTCTAATGACCTCTTCATATCCTTAGGATATCTGTTATCTCTCTAAATTTCTTAATTATTCAAAATAGTTTCCACATTTTTTTTTTGCTTCCTGATGTAGCCGTAACTGTTGATCGTCCGTTTCGTTCAGCACAATCGAAACAGGAAACCGTTGACAACACAACACTTTTGAAGCCAATACTGAATTTGGTCCACTAAGTTTTTCGAAACGTTTTCGCTTCGAGAAAACGAATGGAAATTGCAAATAAAAGTTGTACGGATGTAGTGCGCATAAAAATGTAAATGTGTAAACGGTGCCTAATTATACTATATTATACCAATAATGAACTCTTGCGGCATTCATTCTTTTGCATTCCTGAATTCAACGGATTTTCTACACACATATGGACGAGCAGCAATTTCCCCCTATACTACTATATATGTAATTAGTTTGTCAATAATTTTAATAACGATAGATTTATGAGCCCTAGTGCCAAAGACTGATTCTCCAAATGTGTAAAACTTATATTGACTAAAGCATTGATTAAAGCAGCATATCCGCCTTCTGTATGCATCTCTTTCAAATTAAAATTTCAAAGAACAGGTTAGATTACAGACCTCTCACTTGATAACGTATAATTGGCACACACTTAAAAAAAAAAAAAAAATCCCCGAAGCGTATCGCTTAGTTTAGGAGTTTTATTTTTTTCAAGAAATTTGCAAATAAAGCAAATACTTAGTGGTAAGTATTATGGCGACGTCATTAGCTGTACTTAAACCCAGCACTTCTCCATCGTCTCCCAATGTTATTAAATGCTGTTTTCCCACAGTAATTTGTGGGCCATTACGATTTCTTAAGCCATTGGCATTATCATGTTTCGATTTATACAAGAATACATGACGATGCGATTCACAAATTAAGACGTAACTCAGATCTGGTGAGCAATCGATGAACTTCTTTTGTTGTTTAGAAGCTTGTATATACCCGAAGGCATGCAGATTGCCTTCATGACGCAAAGACCACTCGTCGGGCTTTGATGGATGATATTGTAAAAGCCATAGGCACGCATCGACATCCTGGCGCGTGACTAACGCTAAAGGATATCCGGCTCTCAGAGAAGTAGTGAATAGAGGTGGCGTTGAACCCAGTAAAATATTATGAGTTGTTGAACGTGTCTTTAAATGGAAGCGTGCTAAAATGTCAAAAAAAAAAGAAAAAAAGGAAAAATAAATCACTTGATCAGCCTGTACTTGCTGTTACTTACATATTATAATTTCATCTTCTACGGAATTTAGAGGGAAATCACAATCTTCTAGAGGGGCTTCTAGGTTTGCAATTGGTCTTTGTTCTAAAGGCACAGAGTTATTAACAGAGCCATTTATGCTCTCTTTGGGTCCCCTCTCATTTGCCAGCAGATAAGGCCAACCTATTCCTGAACTTTGCTTCATCAATGAAATTTGTAAAGAGTTATTTTCCTGTGCCGAGAAAAATAAAAACAAAGTATAGATGTATAAATGGCTTGCTCAATAGGTATAAATGTTTCAGCGCACTTACGATAGTCCAAGTAGTTAAATCTTGATCAATTTTCCCAAATAGCGGTTGTTCTAACAGAATTTCGTCATTACATTTTACTGTAATTTCATTAGCAGTACACTTAACATTGTAATCGTTTTTGTCTTTATTCGGTTTTATACTAAATTTCACGATTATATCATCATCAGTTTGAGACCAAGTAAAAGCTTTAATTTCATCTTTACATACATCGGTATGTAATTGTTGTTTCTCCTCCGAATGTGCTTCCTCCAATTGCGTAACTTTCTGAGAGCGCCAAACAACTTCACGATTACCGCAAACGATTAGAGACTCTGCTCTAGGTTCAAAAGCGCAATAATAAAGTGAGCCTTTACTTTCTAATGTGTCCAATATTTTAAAATCCCACTGCTTGTCCACAAGACTCCAATTTGCCCAATGTACATGCATATAGTAGGTACAACTTCCTCCTTTAGGGCTGGGAGGCAAGTCTACACGTTGTACATGTGCCAAAGCTAAAGATATTTGCTTATGATCTTGTATGATATCTAAACGGCAATCGAAAATTGTAAAATTACGCTCCTCGTTAGCTTTAAAGTCACCTTTTATAGAGCATTCGGCTATTACTTTCCATTCCATGGCTTTTAAACGATCGCCAGTATCAAAAAGAATAAGAGTTTTTATGCCATCGCATAGAACACAATATTTCTCTGAAATAAAACGTAAGGTGTAATTGTAATCGCCTATTTTTCGATAATCTGCTTCAGGTGATGCACGCTTTACAATGTCTCCTTTAAAAACTACTTTCACTTCGTCGGGTCTGCCACTATTTTCATCGTAAGATGCTCTTACTATTTCACTTAAGCTATTTACAAAATATGATTGCTTTCTGGACCAGGGATCAACTTGCAAAAGGTTTTGCATCGAAAACAGTTCCATGTGTAAAAATGAATACTGTTCTTCTTCGTTTGGCTCAGCTTTGAAAGGTGCGGCAGTCAATTCTTGCCGCAATACAGGTATTGCATCCAAGGAAAGTTTGTACCCATGGAAATTGTTGCATATTAAACTGCGATCTTGTCTTAATTCAACGATTTTAGGCATTTATTTTGCAATTGATCCACTGCCACAAAAAATGTATATCTTTTTATATATGTATCAATGTATATTATCCAACAAATTATAATCCACTCTTTATTCTTTTATGGGAAGAATGGTATATTCATTGACTACTTCCACTTCTACTACAGTGCTGCATTTAAAAGGCTTTTGTGCGGAACGCAAAACGTATATTTGGCAAACTGCAGGTGATGGTGAAAGTATTTTCAAATACTAAAAACGTATTTTACTGTATTTCCGTAGAACCTCCATAAAAAATCATGCATGTAGTATATTTTGCACGAGTTGCACGAGTATCTCGATAAAATTCTTCTGGAAAAGTTTTTTTTTTTTTGGAGTCAAATATTAAAATGCAAATGGCTTCGGTACCAGTATTTTAGTAGATGAAGTGCCGTATTTTCGATGCACTGGCATATCGAGAGACACATTGTTCATAAATAAGTAAAGCCAGCTGAGCAATTATCAGGTTAAAAAGTTCGATCCATAGAGGTTATAAAGTAACCCTACGTTATTAAAAAAAAGAAGGAATGCCAGGCCATGGAGTATTTGTATACTTTATGGGGCTTTTGAAGCTTGTTTCTGGGCGTTATAAAGGCATTGAAAAAATAATTCAATTATTTCCATTTTTGTGCATAGACTAGAGACTACAGCATCGCCCATATAATATGTCTTCAAATTTTTGTACATTTATTTGCTATAGTTTATGAGTAATGAACAAAAAACCAAGTTTTCATTCCCTTTGAAAAACAGAGGTGTTCTCAGTTTATGTGGTGCTGTGGGCGTGTCCTTTGACCGATTTTGTCCATCTTCAATACCAACCTGCGCGCAAGAACTTCCAATGTTTCTGCCAAATTTGAAATCGTTAGTTTCATTTTTGCGGCGAAGAGAATGTTTGTTTACACCAGACATTACACAGACGGACGGACATTCTCAAATCGATTTAGGATTCGATGCTGATTAAGAATATATAAACACTTTTCGGGATCTCTGATGCTTCCTTCTCAGCGTTGCAAATGTTTTGACAAAATGAATATACCTCTCATCGTCCGGTGAAGGGTGTAAAAAGTTTTTCTGCGCACAATACGAAATTCAAACTAACAACCACATTTATTAATGCATTATCCTCCAATAGTGTTCATTAATAAATCAATATTAATGCCGTACGTTATGGTCTCAAAGACCACTTCACCGGACCAAACTGCCAAAATATAAAAAAACGTAATCTATTGAATAAAATTAAAATTTGTAGCACATTTTTTGTGTTTTAATCAAAATTGATTGAATTCCATAGAAACAGTAAAAAAAAATTAATTTAAAATTTTACATTTATATGTATAACACACACACATTTTAACCCTTTTATTAAACTTTACAGCAATTCGAATTCAATTCGTTATCTAAAAATAAATTCTTGCCTTCAAGATCCTCTAGATATTTGCCCTAAGTCGGCATCATTATTTTCTGACTTATTAGACGCGGATGCTTCTAAGATATTTCACAGCCTCTCTGGACCTCTGGTAGTAGTATCAAATGCTCGCTTGTACTTGATTGATTGAATGAAATATTGATTCGGTATCTAGTTCTACAATTTTCGAAAATTTCTCTAATTCCATGAACGCTCTACGAGACGTGTTGACGTCATCTGTGGTACCGCAATCACCTGCTTGTGGAACATCAATACGAAGACTAATTTCTTTCGAAAAGTCATTCTGAATACTTTTTTTCTCTTTCTCTCTCTCTTTCTCTCCTTATCTTCATATAATGTTATGTCCAAAATCCAATCTGTACTGCTGAACGAATTCCATACAATAGATTTCCCTTGACATGACAGTTAAGGATCCTTTGAACGTTATTGATTTGCGCTTAGTTTCTAATGCTAATATATTTTTGTAAAGCGAGAAAACATTAGAGTTACGTTGCTTACATTCAGTTCGGATTTTGCAGAATTTTATTCTTGAGATATTGCCCTCATGAAAAATTCTCTTAAATCTTATATTTGTTTTCGAGCCGATATTAATGCTGATTGAACTAATAGATTTATTTGGTTATGTTCCGATATTGAAAATTTTTCCTGCTTTCTTCCTCTTACTGTGTCCCATTAATGATGATTTTTTTTTTTTTTTTACTGGACTTTTCATTACTGAACATTGACCCCTCCGAATAAGGATTTCCTGAAATCATTTGCTGTTTACTACTAGTTCTGGACTAAGCTAATCAGAAAATCTCAAATGAAAATTCTTTGTTATAGTACACTTTTATGTATTTGTGGCATCAGGAAGGAAAAACTTCAAAAATAATTGTTTGCTTTCCGCAGCATTCCGGAATTTCCGTTGTTAATAAGATAAGTCTTTACATACATAAGTCTTTATATACATTAGTAGTATCAAATATATCCATTTTGTAAGGGTATTCGGCCCTTTTTCTCTTTGAATACGCTTTTGGATCACAATTTTATAGTTAGATGAACTTTCATTCAAACTCGGTATTCATCGACTCGACAGTTATAAATTGATTTCAAATTTTTTCACTCAGCAAACAAATTTAAGTTAAACTTGTGGGACTTTACTAATAAATATTTGTGGTATTTATCGGAGATTTCATTGTCTACATATTTTTTTGTAAAATATTTCACTAGTTTGTTCTTATTTTAACCTTTCCTTTGTTGTGTTAAGCGAATACCAAAAATTGTTGAGTTATATAAATAACTCAAGTGGGCTACAAGAAAATATTTTTCCCACATTCCGAGAAAATCTGGAAAAAGAAATAAATTTATTCAAGAACTACACATCTCAAGCTTATTTTAGTTTTTTATCTTAAGCTTACGAAAACTTGAAAAATCATATAAATTCCAAAATTTAAAAGGGTTCGGGGAAAATTGATATTGTTTTTTATAGCATTCAATTCCAGCTTTTTTTTTCGATCTTAACTCTTTTTTGGTACGTGCTGTTTTCGACTAGATCGAACCATTAAAATAAGAAACGAAATTCTGGTTACAAATACATCAATTTCAACTTCGACGACATGCTGTAAAAATCGGAATCACCGGAGTGTCTGCTAGTAGATTGCAATAGAATAGAAATACATAGAATAGAATGTCGAAAACTAGATCTTTGCCCAAAGCATCTCATATATACGACAATAGGGCCGAGTAGGAAGCGTGGTTAATTTGTTAAAAAAATTTGTTGGAAGTGTTAATTTCCTAATGTTAACATTAATTAAGTATGTGATGAATTTTCATGAAAGGCCTTACATTGTGCATCTAAATGTGTAATTATTCGATTTTTAAAATGTCTAAGTTCAATCTTAGATATTTTTAACTGAAATTTAAATAAAAGTAACAGTTCTCTGCGTAGCTATTTTCGTTTTTTAGTTAGGTTGCGGCTTTTTGATTAAGTCAGCTGTTTTTATAGAATTGCCATGTTACGTGGTATTACTGTTATTGTGATGTTGATTAAACTATGAAATAAATAAGTGTTGAGTATAATAATACGAATAGCGTTTATTAATCTTAAATTTAAATGCGCATGGATTAATGAAATTAGTCTATTATATATATCTTGTCCTTTTGAAGCTGTAATGCAATACGAATAAAATTTCTATTCTCAGTGGAAAAAAAGCAGTGAACTGCCGCACTACACCTCAACTACAAGTAAATTGAAATTGTGTATTGATGGCAATGCTAAACATAATTGTAATAATAATTCTTTCCGAATGAATGAGAATTTAACACCAAACAAGGATAAGTTCTATTGCATATATATCCTTCTAAGCACCGTGCATGAGTGCGTACGTGAGTGTTTAAACAAGGAAGTGAGTTTTGAATAGAAAAAATAAATAAACTATAGCTATGGGAGAACAAGTACAGAAATAATCAGCTAACGAGATTATTATGCCAATGCAGGCAGACATGTGTGATCAGTTGAGAAATATTTTTAGTTATAAATAGAAATTTTTAGATAAATGCAGAGGAAAAAAAATTTCGCCTTGGGTGCTAAGTGTTAAGTGAAAGCAGGATTTAAAGAATGAAAATAGCCTCCGCCCTAAGAATAAAAAGTAAGCAAACATCAACGGGTTTGTTGTTGGGTGAAACAGTAGAAAATCTGAAAAGAATTTGGGAAGAAATGTAAATGCTTGCAATAAAGAAATGTACCATCAAAGGGATCTAAAGAAATAATATTTATATACATATGCATACATATAAGTACATATATATGTAAATGCATATATATAAAACAAAACAACGCGAATACTGCAATAAAAACAAACGCCGAAAAACTAGAAACAAAACAAATCTAATTAACGTCCTTGTCAGCACCGTAGAAAGGAAGAGAAAGCTTTAAAAAAAAAAGGCAAAGCAAAATGGGTAAGCATATAAACGGAAATAGTTATTGTAGAAAAATCTCTCGCTATTTAGTTAAACATCACGGTATTTATTTTCCTTTCCGTAATGTGAGTGGTTATGTTTTTTGAATGTTTACCCAGTGGAAATGTGCATACATTCAACCCTTTCATTTCTCACCTTATAATGTGCGTGCTTGGCTACATTACTCTGCATGTTGATGTTTTTGTATTTGTTTTTGTTTTCGACTTCCTCTTTTGCTTTATTATCATTGTGCTTTCCTTTACAATTTCGCACACCAACTAGAATATATTTTTTTTTGACAATTGTCACCTCCCTGCAATTCTGCGATTTTTCCATCCAGTATTTCTAAGGCAGAGTTAAGGTGCAGTCAGCCATATGTAACATAATAAAACAAATATAATAAAATTGCTTTTCTGTTCCAAAAAAAAAAAAAAAGAAAAGAAAAGAAAAGAAAAAGTGGTGCAGAATAAGAATTCTTTAAAAAAGAAATTTTACATTTTTTTTTAGATAACATCGAAATGCTGAAAGCTTTATACGATTTTCAAGCCGTCTATCCCAAGACAATTAGTTTTGATGAAGGCGAATATTTTATTTTATATCAGACATCCGCCCGTCAACGGAATTGGTGGCAAGTGGTCAGTATGAAGGGCAATATTGGTTTTGTTCCATCAAATTACGTAATGAAAATTAAGGTAAGCATTTACAAATGCTCGCAAAATTATTTACTCCTCCAAATAGGACATCCTCAAAACATTTTCAACTTCAATTTTGATCCTGATGTAATTTATAATGTAACATAAGCTTATTGCTTTTTGTATTATTGTTGTTATTGTTATGATTGTTACTCGATTACTGTTATTATTATTGTTCTTGTGCAAAAACGTAAAATGTGTCAACTGCGAAAGTTGATTTTCATTCAATTTGTTGTAAATCAAGTTAAACTCGATAAATGAGCGAATAACTGAAGAAGCATACGAAATGAACCCATTAGTGCGTTAAGAGAAATGTTTTTCATTTTCTTTCTTTCTTTTTTATATTAGGCTGCTTTGAGACCAGCTAATAAATAGGTAACAAAAGGGCTGCGTAAACATTAATGTATTTCAACTGATGCAACGAGTTTTTACAATTAACAATTAACAAGCCGTCTATATGAATCTATTGATGCTTTGCCGGCTTCCATTGTTTGTCTGTTTGCTATTCTAAGTCAAACTAAGTTTGAAATAAACTTTTTTCTGTTATAAAAGAAAGGCTATACAAAATGTTTCTAATTGCAAATGAACTTAGCAAATATCTTAAAGCATGTTTGTATAAGCCCGAGGGCTGTACGCGATGCAGTAAAGCAATGCAATTTTGCATTTAAATTTTCTTTAAACTCTTATAAGAAAATTTTATGAAAAAAAAAAAAATGCTTTAAAAAATATGCAGCAATCAGAGATAAGAGAATAAGAGCAAATTTTTTAAGCGAGAAACTTATATTTGGGATTGATAGCGTGTATCGGTTTAAATGCTCGCAAAAATATTTCGCACGGTCATTTAAAAATATCTATTGTGTGGGTAGGAACTGGCGCGTTGCCTTTTCGAATGTTTCATATATTTTATCATAAATTATCATAAATATATTAATTTTTAAAAGGAATATACGTTACTCGATTTATCTTGCAATCAACATATCATGAGTACAAAGAAATTGTAATTTATTTTTTCGATTTTAAAATTGAGAATAAAAAAAATTTCAATTCAAAGATAGTGCTATTGTTACTGCAATAATCTTAAAAAGAAAAAAAAAATCGGCATAGTTAACAATATATTTTTTTGGATGGAAGGAAGCAAAGATAGATAGAATAGCATTACTAAGTATGTATTTAAAATATTAAATGAAATTACTTTGGAGAAATGTTATAAAATGACAAGAGGACTATCCCATTCTTGCGAAATAAGTTTAATTCAACAGACTTTGCGACACGCAATGCATAAGGTCGAGTCACAAGTAACTTCTAATGCGGCTAGATAGAATCTATTGTTCGTGCTTACCGAATACAGGGCAACGAAACAAGCGAGATTTTATTTTCAGTTCGACTTCTCTGTCAACTGTTCTATGTGGTGCATGTTACGTTGAACTGTTTTTCTTAATATCTGCAATTGGAGAGTGCAAAAAGTGTATACTCGACATGTAATGCTTTGGGAAATTAAACAATAATGGCAGTAATGCTAAGGCGACAGCTGAAAAAATATGCAGCGAAGGTCTGATAACTGATCAGGTAGTTAGAAATTGGTTTGTGAAATTCCGTTCTGGAGATACGATCTTAAAAGACAACAAAGCTCGATTTTGACGACAACCTTTTAAAGATAATATTAAAACAATATCCCCGCCAACTAACAAGAGGTATAGCAAAGGGCTTAGTATGCAAGAATATTCTGCAAGAATATTCTGCAACCTATTTTGTTCTATGGTAGGGGGACAACCAGTACCTTCAATATTGAAATATTGCATAAATAACAATTTAACATTCTCCATTTCATTGTCAATGCCCCGTGGTTGGTTAGCAACAAAACTACTTATTATGAATTGGATCTTCGTCTTTCATTCTTAAAATATCTTTTTAGGCTGAGCATTCACACAAAACCCCAAGGCAATATCTCTTTTGAATGAAATCAATCAAATAAGAAAAGTACACCAACAACTTATTCTGAATTTTTCAATTTAGAACTTAGTTTATTTTGGTTCCTTAAATTATGTTAATGAATTTTCCAACTTATTATCATATCCAAATATAAAATCTATGTCGTTATATTGTAATCATTGGGGGATAATAACCTCTTATTTCTTTCATTACTTATTACTTATTGACAGAGAAAATAGCAAGAGCAGGTATAATTCAACTCCAAAAGTGTCATACCAAAATTTTAATTTTATGCGCGAAGCGTTGAAAATTTTCGGAATGCTCTCAGTTTCATATATACAGTCAGCGGTCTTTCTGAAGACATTTTTGTTAGTGTATTAAAGAAGTTAGAAATCAACAGTTAAGTCATTAGCTGTTAGGTAATATCCCAGTTTTGCTTCATTTCACGTAAGAATTCGGTTAGAGGTTTCCGGCGATTTTCGGGTCGTCCAAAGCATCTTCTTAAGGCAACAAAAAAAGAAAATGTTCTTTCGTGAAAAATTTACAGTGGCGTTATATACGACCCTTGGCACGCGCTGTAGTCTTCCAAGAACTTGGCGAAGAAAGTGGATACTTTTATTTAGGAGAAGTACCTACACTCTCGGGACTGTTTCCAAGAGTCTCATTTTTTGAGTTGAAGTTTCGCGAGCAACTGCTTTCTCATAATTCTGTCTGCCTCAAATGACATGTAAAAGTTTATACGTGTTTTGATGTGGTATGTGGATCCGAGATCGAATAAAATCACATAAGTAGGGATTTGATTTATCAAAAAAGTCTTATAAGAAAAGCAATGACTGCACATTCAGCTAACATCCAAATTTTCAATATCCATCACTCGCTTGATGTTCCCGTTCCGCCATATATCATACATTTCGAAGCAAAAAAGTTCTCCGTTCACTTTTCATGGTCATATCAGTTAAAATCAACAAAATTATTAATGTAAAAAATATAAAAAAAAAATATTTTACGCGTGTCAGTTCGTGGAGCGGGACATTATCCTTTTAGTTTTTTAGTTGGTTCAAAAAATTCTTTAAATTGCTTCCAATTATGAGCCTGTCTGTGCGATTTTAGATGGTCTTTCTATCCTATGTAAGCTATAGTATTTTACTTACTCTGTATGTGAGATACGGTTCCGCCGAATATAATTTTCTTACTTATACTACACATGATATGTGTTAACATCCCTTAGGGATTTAAATTAAAACCAAGGATAATTTATTTCGGTCGTAACTTCGGTTTTCTCATTTCTAAATAAACACGGTTCATACATGCGTGTTATTTAAACGCGATTAACCGTTTAAGCAGTGTCGTCTCATTGCGATTGCTTTTATTACATTACATATGTGATACTTAGGGATTATATAACGGTAGATGTGTATCATATTCCCATTGATATTTTTTCTTTTTTATTTATATGATCAATATTATTCAGAATATTTCCCATTCTCGTAAGTAATACGATGGTTACTCTTAGCCATAGCCATTTTGTCGACACATTGGTCAAAAGTATCCGCTAAAAAGGATATCGCTTTTGTCCGTCTGTGTTACTGTTCCGAAAAGGTAGTCTGTTGATATCAAAAAGACGTTCTAAACTGGAAATAGGTTTCTTATTGCTTGCTCTCTGAAAAGTCATTTTTTGATGTCAGCTGGTCTTTTAATCGATAGTGATAGGGGTGAACTTGTCGTTCATTATAATAATTAAAAATTATGCAAAATAGATATTCTATGAGTTATATCATAAATGTTATCGTTTCAGTTACTAAGGGTAAATCAATTTTGCTTGAAAAATATATGAAATATTTGAAAACATGCAAATACACACGCACACACACACACACACAAACAGCGCAAATCATATTTATAGTTTTTCCTCTTTTTTTCGTTTTCGGTTAATTCAAATGTTTTTGTGCACTCATCCATTTCAGTTTTCTAAAGCTTGATGAAGCACTTTCTCATCGGGAGATGAGGGTTTCGTAGCGTAACCAAGAATGAACGCATTCGCAACTAAACTCATTTGTTTGCTATTAAAAGTATTTATTTAGAAATAAAATAAAAAAAAAATAAAATTATAAACAAGTCAAAATCGATAGGCAATAAGTTGAAGAGGGAAAGAAAATTTATTAAAAATTCAAGCAGAAGATAAACAATTCAAGTTTCAAGCTTTATATAGAAATTCGTTAGTAGATTTGTAAAAAAATAAATCACGATTAAACCGCAAGGAAGGGAAAGTAAGCTATTGAATGTGAGAACATCATCAAAAATAACTTGAATGCTTTACAATATAAAGAATCTGATCATTTTTTTTTTTTGTTCAACTACACACAAAGTCGAAAAGCTAAAGAAATTATAAATAAATAAATAAATAAATAAAAATATTGCTATCAGGCAAATCCGGCCATTAAATATTCTACTTTGCTTAGTACGGTTGTCAATTAATTGTTGTGAGAATATAACAACACTATAAACACTAACACCTTATTCAGTTTTCATGAAATGCTTTATTGATTGGAAGGATGAAATAAAGTGTGAAAGGACGCGATCGAAATTTTTTGTAAAATTGATTTTCTTTCTAAGGATTTTTCTCATATAAAGACTTACTTTCCATGAGAGCATTTATATACGTAATCTATAAATAAAGCTATGCAAAAGGGCTCGTCCTTCGATGATGGAATCTACTTGATCTAATTTAATGCAGTTAAGTCTTATAGATTAATTTCCATCAGGAAATTGAACCTTTTAGCCAAATAAAGGCTGACTTTTATAAAAGCCCTTATATTGGGTTGGATTCAAAAAGTAGACCTATATGGTCCAAGTTCTATAACTTTAAGTGTTATATTAAATTACCATTAAGAACCAATTTACACCACCAAAATTATAAAAATTCAACAGAGCAGCTGCTTTCCAGGAATGGTTACGTGGAAGGGGGCTCTAATAATTGCTTCATCCGATCCAAATTTTTCAAATCAATTTAGAATGTTGAGATACTATTATTTAGCAATTTTTGATGAGCAATGTATAAAATTGCAATTTTTGTCGCGTTTCCAATACAAGGCGTCACAAGGCGATGGTGAACTTTTTTCACTTATTTTTCCATTATCATTGCGAACGCTTCTTCGAGTCTCCAAACATATCTAATAATTTATACTGTTTTTTTTTTGTTTTTTAGTTTTTTTGTTTGAATTCTTCAGCAAAAGAAAAAGACTTTCAGTATTGGTTGTTAATAAATTTCTCATCAATGCCTTGTTAGGTATTGTATGTATGTTATCGGCATCGCCATCGCCATCACCATCGCCATTGTCATCGTCATCACCATAGATGTCGTGGTCTACTTAAGATTTTGTTCATGTGGTTAATGTTGCGGAAATATTGTTGGCTTACTTGTCTCCTATAGTCTTTCGGTGGAAATTATATCAAAAGGATTTTCTGTTCTTTACAATATCGATTCGATGATAATTATCAGCGAGTAAATGCATTATGTATTACAATAACATAATTATGTCCTTCATGTTGATAATAGTCACACTGCGGATGTCGGTTACTGTAACTGATTTCATTTTAATTATTATGTTGTAGAACAAAAATTTAAAAAAATAAAAGAAATGGAAAGAAAAAAAAAAAAAAAATTAAAAATGTAATGAAATTACAGTCAATAGGGATATTGTAGTAATTATTCATTGCGTTGTAGTGTGCGTATGTGTTGACGTATATATATATATATATGTGTGTGTGTATGGCTTGTAAAACATATTACAATAACAATAATAACAGCAACAGCAACAGCATTACTTTTATACGTATGAGAGTGCATTTGTCGTACCGAAGCAACCGAAGCTTCATGCTTGTAACTATTATGACTTTTATGTTGAAGACAAGTGTTCTTTTTAATTTAAGGAAATCATATTATGACGGTATGCTTATGTGTCTGCTTGTGTCAGTGGTGGCGGTAGTCAAGGGCATAAGTAGGTTGTTATTTATGCTAAAGGCTTAAAGTCTCTCTTACTCTTTTAGATTATTGAGACGCCTCGAGTTAAAGCATATATAAATAAATGTATGTATGTAAATATATGAAATAAACATATAAGATTTTTATTGCTGTTTTACTCCAGAAGCGAAATAAATTCATTAGTGGTTTCTAAGAATATCTCATTTAAAATTTTATGACCGTAAAAGTTATGAATTATTTAAAAATTTTCTTGACATAGTGCAGTTTGCAAATCTATTTATTGGGTTATGTAGAAAGCCTCCCGCCGGGGCTTTTTCCACGTCTTCGAGCCTGATCTCTTTAAATGATTCTAAACATAAGCGGTCAGATGGTTGACGTTTAGAGTACCTCCGTTATTCCTGACCGGTTTGCCTGTTGGTCTTTCTGTACCAGATGCAAAAATTTCATCAACTTTTCGGCCAGGGCGTGGTGCATTTTTGATATTAAAATTTCCGGAACGGAATCGAGCAACTCGCACTTGGGCCCTTCGTTCACTTTACAAATTTACCCGCCATGTTTTTGCAGCGTTTTTATCTTTTTTATTTCTTCAAGTGTTTTATCACACATTTTCAAGGCCATATAACTTTTTACATAAAAAGCAAAGAATTAGAGAATTGCCTGCACAAAAAATGTATGTTGATATGTCACCTTTTAAGCGTAGCAAGTTCGTTTGAGACAATCAGTTGAGTACTGCCCGATATATAGACTTTAACATGATGCGATGAAAAAAAAAGCTCGGAGACTTTTTACATGACGTAATATTTGATATTTTTTTAGCTTTTACGCATCGCATCATTTCTTTTTAGAATGTGTAACTTGGATGTGTGTACTCGTTTCAATTCCAATCCAATCAAATGCCTTTAGTTTAACCGATCAGTAGAACTCAGTTATGCGTAAACTTTTTATATATACACTAAGAGGTGAGGAGGAGGCTGTTAGTCGATGTGGTCGATCGATCTTTGCTTTGCTTTAGGTGGCAGCGTTTTGACTAAAAAATCTGCATAATTTTGAAACATTTTTTCAAATCTTGTCTTGCTGCTACTACACCACAACACTATTTCCTATGGTTTTGTTTTTGTACACACGGCCTGAACAAGGCTAGTTATTGGTTTTTCATGGAAATGTCGATAACCATGCAATTTATTGTAAAACTTTGTAATATTCCGAAAATACTCGTCGGAGATCTCTTTAACACATTACTGGATTGATTTAAGATTCTTAGTAGATTTAGCCTTAACCCCCTGGTGTGTTTATCTATTTTCCATATTTAAACACTTGAACAACATAATCTTCTATAACGATTTCTATTAAATCTCCCAATAAATTAGAAAAATTTTGATATTTCGACGAAGGAATTGATTTATCGATAAGAAAATTAATTAGAGAACGTAAACGTAGACGATCGAGTTCAAGTAGAAAATATTTATTAAAGAAATAGCGGATACAAGCCACATTCTCCACATTTCATATTTGTAAGGAAACGTTTCATTCTTTCTCTGAGCTAAGGATCCCCGCGTATCACGTTCCAGCATGTGTAAACAGAAACTTCACACAATGTGAACGTTGCATGTATGTTTTTCTTACCCTAAATTGTCACGATTTGCAGCCATATACTATAAATCTCTTGCCGTAACGTGTTTCAATTGTAAATATTTCAAGGAAAGATACCATTAGGTGTTTGCAAAAGTTTTGATCATTTTTTCACTTGAAAAAGGTATTCATTGTGGCATCCATCATTTTCCACAACATTTTACGATATTTTTGGCAACATGGCCATATCATGTCGAAAGAACATATATTGGTTTGGCAGCGATCCATCCATCGGCCCATTTTCGGATTTCTTCGATTTTGCGGACTTGTGTGCCAGCCAAGCCATGCTCTCCATCGATCTGAACAAGTAACAATCAAGGGACGCCATATTTGAACTTCCCATTCGAGCTGCAACAGTGTATCGTGGATAACTCTTGCGGTCAAAGTGGACAAAAAAGGGCATTTTCAGTCAATTTATGTCGCCACTTTAAGCCGTTGAACCCAAGACAGACAATTGGAATGTGAGGCAGTCGCGTATCACCATAAGCCTCTGAACGTGTTTCGTGGGCTTCGGTAGCAAATATCTTCAAGTAAATCACAAAAGTAATGAATTTGAAAGCGGAAGCGGAATTTTGAGCGCTCCATAATCACCGTCGGCGTACGTTGATTGAATAAACCGATAATATTAGTTTGGGGAAAAAGAAATCCATTATTTTTATATGAACTTCAGGACTTTATTTAACATGCTTCGGATTGTCCGATTTGGGTCAAATATGCACCGTTTTGTTGTATGATTTGTTGCCATTTTAAAGGTAACTTCAAAATGCCTCTCTCATAGAAGTCCTGGTCTCTATTTGCAAAAAAACTCTAGTAGTCGATTTTCACAATCCTCCCTAGATTCCAATTTTTTATCATTTAAGAAATTTTGCAATGCAAGAAAAAGATGATAATCGCTTGGTGCCAAGTCCGGACTGTATGGCGGATGCATTAAAACTTCCCAACCAAGCTCCCGAAGTTTCTGGCGAGTCACTGTAGATGTGTGTGGCCTAGTGTTGTCCTGGTGGAACACGACACCTCTCCTGTTGACCAATTGTGGCCGTTTCTGGTCAATCGCTATCTTCAAACGGTCCAGTTGTTGACAGCAGAGATCAGAATTTAGCGTTTGGCCATATGGAAGCAACTCATAATAAATAATCCCCTTTCAGTCCCACCAAATGCATAGCAAAACCTTCCTTGCCGTTTGAGGTGCTTCACCGCTCTTTGATCATGATCGTTTTCGCACAGGGTTATCGTATGTGATCCATTTCTCATCTCCAGCCACCATCCGTTTAAGAAATGGGTCTATCTCATTCCGTTTGGCCAAGGCTTCGCAGATGGAAAATCGATCCATCATGTTTTTTTCTGTTAATTGGTGTGGCACCCAAACATCGAGCTTCTTTTTGAATCCAGCTTTGTGTAAATGGTTTAAAACTGTTTTATGGTCGATTTTTAGCTCCTGGGCGATGTTACGACTGCTAACATGCCTGTCAACTTCGATCATTTCTCCGATTTTATCGACATTTTCGACGACCGGCCTACCTGTGCGAGGTGCATCTTTAACATCAAAAATTCCTGAACGCAATCTACGAAACCAAAATTGTACATAATTGGCTGTAACAGTATCGGAACCATAAACACCGTTCACAATTTTAGCCGCCTGGCTTGCATTTTCGCCTTTGTCAAAGAAAAACTGTAAAATGTACCGAGAATTTTTTTTGTACTGCGAAATGTACAGTATGTAAATGTACAGTATCGGAAATTGTTTGATCGATACTTTACGAGAAATCTATCAGTGCAGCCATCTACCGAAAAAATAATGGATATCTTTTTCCCCAAACTAATATTAAATGTGAAAAAATTGTTATTTTATGTAAAGAAAGGTCAAAGTGTCATTGAATTTAATCGTTGTATACATTGATACTTACTTGGCATTACTTTATCATATCTACTTGCTGAAGTCGCTGATCAAAAATTTGTGCAAACACCTATCATGTGCTGGCCGGTATAACATCGTCTATCATTAGCTTTTTAAAGTATTCCCTATATTCGCTTGTACTGATATCATTCCAATATATATTTAAATGCAAATAGTCTTTTACTTTATGATACGGTGAACAACTACTGGCTACCTATATAAATGATGTTTTTTAGATGTTTATTATTATGTACTACCACTGCAGCAGCTATTATTCTATATATTGAATTACTAGCATATCTAAATTTGTATAACGAAGACGAGGAATCTCGACTAGCAAGTCAATGGTCGTGGATTCGAATCTCCTCAAGTGCGGTAGAGTTTTTAATAAAAGCCAATAGCCTTAGATGCTAGTGCTTTTAAGAGTTTAGTCTTAGAATTTATTCCTCTGGCGTAATTAATAATAATAATAATAATAATAATAATAACTTTGTATAAACTATATATGTGTATATTAATTTATTGCGGTTTTAAATAAACATTTAAGCGGTATTTTTTTTAATGAAAACATGGTTTTTTCTTTTCAAACTTCTGATGTCAGCAGGATTTGAATATCGTGTCGAAGCCAAAACTCGTTTTTGAATGGATTATTTCGTAAGTAGAATGCAAGTGTTTCCCAAACAGGCTATAGTTCGTCGTCTATTGACACAAGCAGAACTTTTGTTAACAGAGCGGATAAGATAGTGTATCCTAATTCATCACCCGTGCAACGTGCAACGTGCGATCGAGTCTCTCGGTATAATTAAAAACTACCTTATCACGTGAATGAGCATATTTTGCGAGCGTTTTACTGATCGGATCAATTACATCTGTTGTTACAATTTCATAGTGATAGTTTGGAATAAGTGAAATAAGGTGGCTTATAATGCGCTACTAATACCGATCCAACTATCTGGATAGAATTCTATAAGGCTCTTAATATAAGTGTAGGAAATACTTAATAAGGTTCTGTGTATAAAATGATCAGGCTATGATTGCATTTGGACGCCTAATCCGTTCAAATTAGAACACTTAAGGTGCATTCGTAAATATCAAAATACGTCAATCTATATAAAAATACGAAGGTTTTCTTCGGGCGATCCCATCTTTGTTGCGGCCGATCTAGAAAATGTCATTTATTTTTAGTATATGTCGCAACAATTTATATAAAAAATTATATTTAAATGAGTTCGTGAGATTTGGGATTTTAGCATAAATCCCCTAGATGATAATGAACTGTCAGCGCGGTCAAGCTAGAAGCCATTTTCATTTACACTATAGAAGCTTCCCACATCCAATCGTAGTTTGACGCTTGTTTACATAAATCCATGTTAACCACTTGACGGACCATATGTTAGGCTTTCGCATGGCTTAGCAAATAAGTAGGGCGACTATCATGCGAAATATACTTAACTACCCTACTTTAATGACGATTTGCGTGTACTTGGACTTGTAGTCAAAATGCCTCGATCGGTCAAGGCATAATAAACACCGATTGTCGCGTATACAATAGGCTTTCGCTCTTAGGCTTTCATCTGTGTTTGACCTTAACCGTAATATATGTATAGCTGGCATCCTCTGACTGACTGTCATATTAAAAAAAAAAAAAAAACAGACCTTTAAAGAGTTCTGTTAAAGTTTAGTTTAATGTTTTTTTATCATGTTGAGCGCAAATTGGCCTTCGCCTTTGGCCTTACCCTTCTCTCATTGCTTTTATTTTATTTATCAGAAGGACTTCAAAATTATCGCTAAATTAATCCGTGGCTTTATCGAATTTCCACGGACTCTTTGTCACTTTATCATATTAGATATATATTCACTATTGTTGTTACAACAAAATAGGTTGACTGACAACAAACAAGAGAGCTTCTCCGGCAAACTTGGTGCTCGACTTGCCGGCCTTCAATCAATATTAGGCGAGTACGGCAACAAATGGCATTGTTTACTTGACAATCTCTTAATTGCCGATGAGATGGCTTTTGTATTATTTATTGGAGCTGGAACGGTGACGGACAATGCGTATCGAAAAGGTACTGGGTAGTGTGTCCTAGAAGAACGTTGAATCGCTTGCCTATTAAAATAATAAAAACACAATTGACTTAAGTAATTGCCAAAAAAACAAGTGAAGCTATTATCGACTTTTATGCCGAATTAATTCTTGAAAGCATAACTGCTGGATATCTGCACATGCAGTAGTCATTCAATCTGCATATGCCTTGCGCAACAACATATTTGCAAAGAGAGGGAAATTCATGCTTCGAATCATGCCGCAACAAAGTCTCAATCTCGCTAAGAGATCACAATGAATATGTGGACAAAGTTTTATTTTAGGCAGAAATATTGCAAGCGTTTGCACCTAGTTTGGTAAAAGGCTAAGAAAATGCGCAAAATCTGTTGAAGGACACATCTACAGCATTACGTAACGTGAAGATAGACACCTCTGTTTTTCAAAAGAAATACAAAATTAGTTTTTTGCTCGTTACCTATAAACTGCAGCAGATAAATCTACAAAAATTGTAACGCAAAACATTTCCGTCCGTACATCTGCCCTATTTATCCTTAGCCTGCGCAACTGTATAGTATCTTTGTGCAAGCAGTCTTCCGTTTGTAAAAATGATGATATCGTTCACAAATTTGTAAACTATATCGTCGTTATCACGTTTGCAACGCCCACACGCCTATATAATAAAATCCTTGAACACTCTCCGTATTCTTTGTTTGCTACTCACAAAGTACAGCACCTACAAATTTTGCGCCATGTCGGCCTATTTTTGGGAAACCATCTTAATAATAATTTTCACGAAAACTGATCCTTTGTAGAGCACAAAAGTTTTAAGTTTTAATATGTGGCGATGAAAATTTGCCCAAAATAAGAACTGTGTTTGACAATGTGGTATAGGGTATTTTATAGTCGGCCTTGCCCGTCTATAATGTTCTTACCTGACATATTTACTGATATTGAAGAAATGACGGCGTAATTGGAAATTCGTTTCCATCGTTCCTTCGTTATCAACCTATCACCGGATTTGCTTTACAAAAGTGAAGGTAATCTCTAAGACTCAGCTTATGAAACACGTAAGGTTTATGTTATGAAAAAAAAAAAAAAAAAAGGTGAAGCACGTAGCAATCTGTGTGTCAATGAAGGGGAGATAAAGACAAAAAATAGATTTCTTGAAGACACCGATTGGGAGTCTGTTGGGCCACAATGGTCACCACAAATGTGCAATACAAGATTCAAGAAAATATATATGTTTTTTTTGTTGGAGAGCCATTTACAAACCGACAAGTGCTCGCCAAGCTTCCAAGGGAATTTTTCTTTCTTCTTGTATGATTGTTCTGTTCATATACATATGTGTTATATAATAAGGAAAATGAAATAAAATTTTATTTTTGGCTTTTAGGTCGAACCAGATTTTCTGATAAGTTTTTTGAATTCTTCCATTGAATCGTTGGAAAAATCGAAAGAAACGGAAATAAACGGTATTATGCCAAAGGAGGAGCTATTGGAACGCCTTAGGGAAAAGAAAAACTCCATGGAACGAATGTATTTGGTATGTGTGCATCCTTTTTAAATGTTCACGTTCGCTCTATTATTTACATTATCGTTCATCGATACATTTTTTCTAGGACAATACCGAACGTGACGCTGACTCATCGTTATCATTTTCACAAAGTTTAGGAGACAAGCATAGTGCTCCGCATCAGCAGGAGCATAGACCGCATAGTCCACCACACATTAAGCGATTAGATAGCAGTAAAAAGTCAGTATCAAGTCCATCCATGTGTACGACTACACCACATTTGGTGCAGGAATCGCCTAGCATGGGTTCAATGCAGGTGCAGACTCAGCACAGTCAACAACAACAGCAACAGCAGCAGCAGCAGCAGCAGCAGCAACAACAACAACAACAACAGCAACAGCAACAACAATCACAGCAACAGCAGCAATCACAACCTCCCCAAGCTCAAACTAAACTGAACGATATCGCCCAAGATAATAGTGTTACCTCAGAGCCTTCCACTACCACGACAACCACAAGCGAGGATGTGGTTACAACCTATCGGGAACCGAGTTTAAAAGATTCCTCTTCGGCCGCGCATTCTTATAATAAATCGAATGGCAGCCTTAAAGGAAGCAATAGCCTAACGAGAGATATTAGAGGAGAAGAAGAAGAAGAAGAAGCTGCCACTGTTGATGAAGATTATGGTAAACAACAAACAAACGGTGAATCGGGCAAAGATGATAAGACTTTGGAAAAATCTGAGACTAGTGATGTGGTTAGTGACGATCCTGATGTTAACGGCAAAGGTGACTTCGCCAACAGTGCTGATAATAGTCAGGCATTGGATAGCGAAGACAGCGCTGCCGCTTTGCAACAGCAAGTTAAAGTCGCTCTAGTGCAATCCGGTGGTCTTAATGCAGCTTATGCGCGACCTAACAGAAAAGTAGAATCTTCCGATGTTTATCAAATTGTTGATGCGATTAGACGTAATACGAATATGAGTTTTGATATTTCCTGCGAAGCTCTACGTGTCGTTTTAACCAGTATGGAGCAATTGTATAACGGTGCCATAAATCCCTATCTAGAAGCAATTGCGATACATGTCACTGATAAAGTTGATACACCCAAAGAGCTATTAGGGCTAACGCACGATGCCAAACGATTACAATACATATTCGCTCAACTGGCCGATTGTAAAAACGATACGCAGCAACGTTCCTGGATGGTATATGAAGATGAAGATGATATTTTACAATTTCTAGAAGAGCTGGTAGAAATATTGGTAAAGATGAATAAAATAGTAAAAGAAATTTTTGCTCAATTTTATTTAATAATTCCATCTATGCAGAATAACGCCGATGAAAATATTTGTTGTTACGAAATGTCTTGCGATCAATATCAGGCTATGGTCAATTTAGTGCAATACTATCAAATGGAGACTCGATGGCCTATAAAACGTTTACTCTTGAAAGCTTTTACTGCTGCCTGCCATTTGGATGCCATTATCGTAGATATTTTAGTAACGTCAGTGTTACCCCTGGAAATTGTTGAAGATATGAAAGTTCAATTTTCCACAATGGAACGACTAAAAGAATTAATTAAAATGTTAACCATAATTTTTTGTTTGGGTCAACCAATGCCAGTCAATCATCAAGGTGATCTAAAAATGTTGTGAAATTTTTTTTTTTTTTTTTTTTTTTTTTTTTTTTGCAGTCATTGAAAACTTTGATTTATTTCAGATTATTTGGGCCTGCAATTTGCTGAATTCTTATTGGAAACGATTGAGAGTAATAATCCGGAGAATTTCATTGATCTGGTAATTACATTGATATTAGCTTTTAATCTTCAATTCGTGGATCCCTTACAAAATCCTATAGTTGAGGCAATGCAAACAGTACCTACGGTGAAAGCTTTTACCGAAAAAATATTACTTCTATTAAATCGAGAAGGTTGGTTCAATTCAAACTATTTAAAATAGCTTTCTTGAATTTTTTTTCTTTTTTTTTTCTTTTTTGGTTTTTTTTTTTTGTTTTTCTTTGCTTGTGCTAGAGGATCCTGTCAAACTTTTGAAACATCCTACAAATGTTATGAATTCGGTATTAAAAATCTTTATTGATGTGTTTAGTATTAAAGAGACCGCCGGCCTATTTTATACCACTGATAATAAAGTGCTGATCGATATTGTGGTCAGGCAATTATCCGATTTGTGCGTCGGAAATCCGGTAAGTCTTTTGTAATGTTTTTTTTTTTTTTTTAATTTTTTTTTTTAAATATTTTTTTTATTAATAAAATAAAAATGAATGAAAATATTAGTTAAGACGCTGCTACTTGGAATTGTGCCGTCGCATTATGCGTAATACTAATTATCAAGAGCATCAGCATCGTAAACAGGATTTTATGAAAATATTTACACGTATCTTCTGTGAGGATACTGAAGTTAGTGCAGCTGATCAACAACTGGTGCGAGAAATTGCAAACGAATTTCCTCAACTATTTAAAGCTTAAAGCAATTTTATCGTATCTATCGAACCCATAAATGAACAGCATTTAGTTTTTCTCTTTTGTTCTTGTTATTCAGTACATTGTGATGTGATAGCATTTTTTTTCAATTTACCAAAAATTTTTAATTCATTTACAATTACAGGACATTTTTTTATATATTAGTGTAGTTAAAAAAAGCTCTCTAGTCTTTTTTGGAAATTATATTAACGAGCTTTTTTTTTTTTAACTAAAATGAAAAGGAATTACTAAAGAAATTTTTGGACTTTCAATATTTTAAGTCCATAAGAGAAACACGTTTTCTTTTTTCCCTTTTTCCCTTTTTTTTTTCTTTTTGTTTTTTATTATTAAAGATTTTTACAAATCCGTTTTCCTTTTTTTTGTAATATTAAGTAGAGAAAAATATAATGATTCATATTTAGATTTTCTCTCCCACAGTTTATAAACTTGAAAGTTTAAATATTCTTTTTAGGTTAAATTTATATAAAAAAAAAATAAGAAAAAAAAATTAAGAAACTACAAAATCTATTTAATAGTTAAGAGAAAATAACAATTTTAATAAAAAGAAGGTTAACATTAATTGTTGAATTATGTATACAGCACACAAGCATGCATATACATACCTATACGTAGTTAATATTTCCTTTAAACAATAGGAGCACTTCCCAATGTACGTACGAGCGAAAATTTAAATTCCATTTCTGCAAAGATAACGACTTAAATGCCGTAATCCAGTAATCAATTTCGAATCAGTTTCGAACTTAACAAATCTTAAGCTGAGTTAAGGATGAAACTTTACAAAGCCTGTCAACTCAAATTTACGAGATAATAATTATTCTGACGACTAAATTTCTTATGAGAGAATTATGAGACGTGGTTTAAGTAGCTATTATAGGCAGCATAAACTATATTTGTGTCTTCCCATATAATAAAATAAAATAGTGCTTGTTGTACTCTACACAACTCATCATACAGTAGGATACAGTAGGATAGGAGTAAGTTTGTGCACACGTATGTAATACTGAAAAGGACTTACGATACACCCGATGGATACATAATCATTTTCTGATTCGATCTAAGCTTATCTGTCGGTCTGTCATCTGATGTCTGTCCACGAATTATTATATTCAACCTACAGGTCGCACTTATTACGATATTTGGATGAAATTTACTATGCTGACTTGCTATGGCCCAAAGACGAATGCTATTGAAAGTGATTCGGATCGGTCAACTTTTTCGACAATTCCCTGACGGAAAAAAAAATTCAATTTTCAATAATTCTCAATAAAAGTCGTTCAGTGATAGTATTTTGGCATTGTAAATTAGTATGAAAATTTTAAATCGGCTGAGGCAATTTTTCGAATGCGCTCTCCGCCGTCTAGCGGAAACTGAATCTTTATATGATAAAAATATGTAATTTTTTATATTTTGATGGGGAAGAATAGGTTCATAATTGACGAAGAAATCAACGTTACCGAATTTGGACCATATAGGTTTACTTTTTTTGGAAATTCTCGCATATAAGGATTCTCCGGAAATTTAAGCCTTTACACGCCAAAATGACCTATGTGTTCATGTTCACGATAGACATTTGACATAAATATGAAAAGGACCAAATAGTAAGTCGTTCAGAAAAAGTTTCAATTGTTAATACTTTGAGATGAAAGTTGGCCCATTGTTGTAGTTAAGCAAAAAAAAAAAATTAACGGTAGGCAATTTGGATCACATAGCTAGCATTCTCACTATAGAGGTTATCATGAAATGCAAACCCTTATATGGTTTTTTTAGTTTTTTATGATTGAAGCTGAAAAACAAGAAAATTCAAGAAAAAGTTTATCTTTGTATGAAGGTAATGTGTATTTTTTGCTGTATTATTACAACGAGTGAATAATACTAATAGGCGAAATGATGTAGGATATCTAATGGTCGACCTTGCCCGACCATAACGTTTTTACTTGCTTTTTTGCCTCTTTTCTTTCAGGGTGCTTTTCGCGATGTCCTTTTATTATACCGATCGATTAGCGGTCACTTTTTCAATCGATTTAAGCTTGTCTGCTTGCCTGTTCCTGTTCTGTTAAGGACATTATAGTCGAACAAAGCCGACCATTAAATATTCTACACTATATTGTCGAACGTAATTTGATTTTTTTATTATAGAACACACAAATTATATCTTGTTTCTATATAAAAGCGAAATTTTCAATTGCATATTTGTGCGGAAGCGGGCCCAAAACGCAACCTAGTGTAGTACAAGATTAATTTTTACATATGGCATTTTGTAGAGTCATTTTTTTTTTTTTTTTGTGTTAAATATAATATAAATATGTTATATAATGTTCATCACGAAGTATTGAAAATGAAAGCATTTTATCCTATGAACTTCAGTTTTCGTTATATGAGAAGAGGTTCAACAATTGCCCCAGCCGGTCCAAAGTTGTCATACCAATTTTGAGTGCCCAAATATTACTACCTATTATTTTCGAAGAACCAAATAATGATAGCAATAGTAGGCAGAAAAGTTAATAAAAAAAGTTTGATATGCCATTTACATGTGGCAGGATATAGACCCTATTACAAGAAACGTTAGAAATTACATATTTCATTGCGCATTCATCAACATCCGGTAGCCGAAAGGATAGCTAATACGCATGACATGGTTTCAATTGGTAATTGGCCAATGAAATTGCAGCAATTGTGCTAGTGAGCTTACAGTTTTAGAAATTTTTAAGAAAACGAAAAAAAAGTCACGTATGACACGGTAAAGTCTACAAGATTTCGATCGTGATATGCGAGCGGAAGCATATTATATATACGACGACAAAGGCTCATTATCATTAATAATCATTGTTACAAAATTCATGACAAAGTTAATAGTTCTAACGTTAGTAACCCGTTTTCTTCATCAAATTTTATAGAATATTTTTTTGAAACACTATGTCCCCTATCTGCCACATGCCTGTTGAACATTATGTATATAAGATCGATCATTTCTCAATTTCGCACGGTGCGGCAAGGCGTTGAGAAAAGTGATCATTCTCGGTTTTATTTTTTGTGTACGGCTTTTCCAAATCGTCCTGATCATACCTAAATCGTTCACTCTAATGATAGAAATTAAAAAATTGATACTGAATGATATTTAGAAAAATAAGGACAACTCAAGAACATACATATAACTTTTTAGGCAAGTGCATGCACAAAGGGGATAGCACACACGCGTACAGTTTTATTCAAAACATTCTACTATTGTAAACATATGCCCCTAATTTCTAGTCTTAGAGAATCATTTTGAGCAAAACAAAAAGCATTATTTTCATAAGTTTCCTATAAAATCTCCTCAATCCAAGAAGCTGTCCTACCTCCTTCTCGGTCTTCGATAATGGATATCTTAAAATGGCATTGACATTCTTCGGGTATGGTTTAACCCGGTTAGGCTTTACGGCATGGCAGAAAACTTTTGCTTGCCTATGGAAAAATTCACATTTATTTAGCCATGTCCCAAGACTAACATTACGTAATTCCTTTCTCCTAATTATATTATCTAAACTCTGTAGTCTTTTTCATGATTGTGGATTGGAATGTGGACAGTGCGCTTCAAAGTCCAAACGCGATTCTTATAAGTTCATAATGTCTATTTCTGGTAGAGAGAGTGTTTTTTTTCTTTTGTCGGCCGAGTTTCTCTCTCTCTCTCTCTCTCTCTCTCTCTCTCTCTTATGGAATCCCTTAGACAGATCGGGGGCACTGAATCAGAAGTGTTTCCCTAGTTTGTTCAATATATCATCCATATTGGGCATCGGATATTTATCTGTGATCGTGGTGTCGTTGAATTTGCGATAGTCGATCACAATTTTTTCATTCTTTCTTGCCAGAAATTTTTAATTTTGTAAGCACAACTCACATCAGGGATGTATAAGAAGAGATGTTGCGGCAAATAATATTTTGCTCCAACATTTTCTTTATCTGCTGGCCCACTAACTCATTCCTTTGAGTTTCAGGATATCTATAAGATCTAACGTAGCTGGAGTCCTTATCGAGAGAGTATGTTATCGAGTATGGGAAGGTCGTTATTTTCATCATAAATTGTAAAGCTCGAGACGGTATATCGAAATCCATCGAGAAGGAGACAATTATCGATAATATCAAATTTCGCATTCGAAATTTTCAGTTCATTATAGCCTAGCAACTATCAAGAATTTCTATTGTTTTATTGCTACAGTAATGATTTTGAAGGGCAGAGTATGAATTATGTGTTCTTTGAGAAGCTAACAGTGTGTAATTTCGTTTAACTTAAGTTACGCTTGCAATCTAAATTCAATTAAATAAATAGTTACGTTCGAAGTGAAAACATAGGGGATGTGGAATTTTTTTTGCTCTCGGCCAAAATTAGAAAATACTGAAAAAAGCGGAAAATTTAAATTAAATATGGGCAATTTAGATGACCAATCGGAGCCGTTTTTGTGCCCTAAATTTTCAGATGGCAAAAGTTCGAATAAAAACTTCAAAGTTTATGTGTGAGATTTCATATTTCCAAATATTACGGAAACCATAATGCCATTGTGTATAACCGCATCATCATACAGTGCTGGGTATCATTCACTATCTAACTAAAGACTAAAAACAATTGGGAAGTGCAATGATTAAAAATAAGGTATAAAATGATAAAATGAAAAATTTAATTTAATAAGAAAATGAGAAAAAAGAAAAAATGTGTAATCGATTAATAAATAAATAGTACGTAATAATGCATAAATAAATGAAATGCAAAAAAAAAAAAATTCACAGAAATTGAAAACATGTTAAATTTGATTATATAATCTATCTAGTAAGACTATTTAAAATAAATTAATAATGAAGTAAATCTTTAGACAAAATGTTAAAATCATATAAACCAAAAACCTAATATAGATCGCAATTATTAAATAATTAATTAGCAAATGTATAAATTGATATATAAACGAAATTAAAAAATCAATAAACAATTATTTTAGGAGATAAATTCCTTTGTTCTTTTTTATAAAAAAATTAAATATTTTTAAATTTTTAAGAAATGTTATAAAAAAAATTTTTTAAAAATTTACAAAATTTTTTACTCTAATTTTTTTTTTTTTTTTTCTTTT